ATTTTGAATATGTGAATTCAAATTAATTGAAACTAGTGAAATTACCCATTTACGTAGAATGTGATTTATACGTGATGGCTCAAACGAATGAGTTCATTTTTTTAAATAGACTACCTAAAGATCTACCAAAATCAAAAATCACCATCATAATATGTTATGCGATTCACTGCAGTTTTTGAGTTATATATCTCAACTTTCTCAAGAGTAACTGTCCCCGGCATTTTTTGTTACGTATTTTCATGAATTGCTCCTTTATGCAAGAAATAAATAATTATTTGAAATTACAGTAAAATATGAAAGTTTTCATCTATATCTATGAATCACGTTCGAACAAGGCAGACTTGAAATTTCGAGTTCGAATTGAAAAAAAAATATCTGATTCATTCGGCCGTTACTTGATGAAGATCCATAGTAATTTCAAAAACTACACAAGTTTGTGGAGATCAAATCATAAGGTGTAGTTTTTGAAAATTAAAAAAAAATTGCTCGGTTCCTTGGTGGTTTTCAAAACTTTGGGAAACCCTGAATGGTGGATGATGAATTATTTGACTGTAAGATATTATCATTGCTTATTTTGTTCCTCCTGAAGCTAATTAAGATAGAAAATATCTAACATGCTCGGAAATCATTGAAATGTACCCACTTGAACAATAATTTATATTAGAGTTTTTCCAAAAGAGCCTGAGTTCTGCTTCGACAAAACCAAGAGTGTTGAGAATGATTTGTTTTCATTATGAATCTTAACAAAATAATACAATAAATGGAAAAACATTCTCTATCTTCGAGTGGTTCAGCGAGAGGTATAATCTCCGGATATGAATCCTTTTCCCTATTATAAAAGAGAATGTATTTTCGGAAATTTTATGCTGCTCAATTCATGCCATAATGTTCTCTGGCAAATGTATAATAATGGCCACAATATACAGATGTGCCAAGGTGGAATATGGCCGCATAAAGCTCGTAGATGCAATTGTCTGCAATGACGTGTATGTTCAGCATCGATGTTTTCACAATATTTCACAGTTTCTGGGTCTCACTATTGTACTGAAATATTTCAAGGTGAGAATCAGTTTATGGCACTGATTGCAATGGTATTAGTTGTCCCATGTTAAAATCTCTGGTTGAACCAAGAAGTCCACAAGGGTTTGAATAGAGTTGGTACGAGTTATGTGGAAATGAGATCTGTAGGTCCTTAAAATCATCTTGAAGCTCGCTTCATGTTCCACTTTCTCCATATATCGAAAAAAACCTTGCTTTACCTACGAATAATTGTTCAACAAAGATTGCTGTAGTTGATGCGGCTTCTTCATTTTCAGTAACACTCATAATGCTGGTGAAGTTTTTCTCCTTATGGTTCAATTTTTCTGAGGGTAACCCAAAAACTGTGAACTGTCATGCTGTTGACCTGGTAGAAAACCTGCGGAAGCGAATTCCCCAAATCATTTAAGCCGACCTTCTGCTATCGAGAATCCCTAGGTGTTCTTCGAAAATTTCGAGTGCAACGACTGCTTCTACTGTAATTTTTGGGACGGTTCAGCAACATGATCAAAAGCTACATGAAAATGTTTTTTTTTATTTTTATCTTCCACAACATAAAACGAACCTACATAAAAAATTTCAACCTCCAAAAATATAGCGGTATGGAGAAACAGTGATGAAAAGGTAATTTCCATATGTAAACGCGCCCCTTTTATCCCCAAGGGGTCGCCCAGTTGAAATATTTGTAAATTCTTTCTTATAACACATCTCCAACAAAAAACGAATCTACATACAAAATTTTAGCCTCCGAAAATGAAGCGGTGCGGAAAAACAGTAATGAAAATGTAATTTTCATATGTACACGCGCCCCTTTTGTCCCCAAGGGGGTTGCCCCATTTGAAATATTTGAGGATTCTTTCTTATTGCACACCTTCAACATAAAATGAATCTAACTTGTTCGATTGATGACTTATTTATTTTGTAGAAATTCATGTTGAATATAGAATAAAGAAAATACTTTTATCTAGTTTCTACTGTGTTTATTTATTCGTTACGACCGGTTTCGGATTATAAGGCCATTTTCAAGTAACTACAACAAATTGTCAATATTACAATATGTCACGATAACGAACTATTGGATGGATCCTAAAATTCCTGAATTCAAAATGGGCGAGCTGCATAGATCCAGTTGGTCGTTGAGCGTTATGAACTTGGGATCCTTGTACAATTTATTTATTTCCAACGCTTCCAATAAATTCATCTCCCTTCCTTTGTTACATATATGAAGAATTTTCATGTTTCCTTTATTTATTGTATGGTTTGTTTCTTTTAGATGCCCATATATGGCTGATTTTTCATCTGATAATACATGTTCTCGGTATCTTATGTCGAAGTTTCTGCCTGTCTGACCTGTATAACTGCTGGGCAGTCCCCACATTCTAGCCTCCGAAAATTAATCGGTGCGGAGAAACAGTATTTAAAAGCTAATTTCATATGTAAACGCCCCTCTTTTACCCCCGCGGGGTGCCCCAGATGGAATATTCGAAAATCCTTTCTTAGTGCGTATCAAAAACCTAAGAAGCACCTATATACCAAATTTCAGCTTCCTAGGACTCACCAGTAAGAAGAAACAGAGATGAATAAATGTTAAGTGATTTTTTTCAAGGACAAAACACAGACATTGCAGGAAAATCCTTAAGGGGCTCTCAGAGCGGTGCCTGTGCGAAAGTAGCGATTCACATTGAATTTAGCGATTTAAATCCATTTGGAAAAACATTCTCAGGAATTTTATTCCACATAAACGCAGTTTCGCCTTCACAAGTATTACATTCCATGTAAAAATTGACTCAAGAAAAATCAGCTTCCAAACAAGGGTTACTATTACTGTAATACAAAATTTCCAAAAAGGAAAAATTCGAATGTTCGTTGTGTTGGGGTTTCTTTTCATCGAAACTATTGCGTAATTTCTGAGGTACGCCAATAGTTGAATACGTTTTAAAAAAATCGAAACAATTTACAAAAGAACTAACGAAAGGATCGTAATTAAAAATTGTTGTCTCTGATGATGCTAAATATTTCAAATGAATCGTTACGAAAATACCAAGTGTAATATACCACTGAATTGTGATTTTATCGATTTATCGATTTATCAATATTTGTAATAAATGAGACAGGTCCGTATTTAAAAAAAAAAGTTGGTGGTGGCCGTGTTGACACGAAAGGTTATTTCAAGATTCATTGTTACATCGTTATAGTTCATTTCAAATGAAATATAACTATTCGTAAGAGAAGGGAGAAAGTTCCTGTAAATTTTCTTTGGCCATTGTACTGTAGATTTTGACAGTTCTGAATAACGCCTAATATAATTGAGCATTCAGCTCACTCGATTTTTTTCAAAGTCGACATACATTTGATCGAGTGAATTCCTTGAAGTATCAGAACATGAATTTCTATGGAAACTAAGCATTTTATAGGTATAGGAAATATAATTGAAAGTGATCATCAATCTGAATGTTTATTGCAATGAAACAGTAAACAATAGTTTTTGTAGACACCCTATAGGAAATCAACTGCTCAGATAAACCTTTTGTTAGTCCCATAACAGAACAAAAAAATTGAAGAGAAATTAAAGAGAGAAGAAAAATATATTCAAATGAAAAATGTCCTGCAAATGAAATTGTTTATATTAAATGTCAAATAAAAACTTTGCAGAATAGGTAAAAAGTATGTGATACGGAACAGGTAAAATCTAAATCTGTAATGAAATATAGGATTTTCTATTTGAAATAACTAAGTTCAAGCCTACTACGGGTATAATCGGAAATGTTCGTTACATGCAAATATTTTAGCTGAATTGTACACAATGTCATTCCTATACTATGAAATTTTCATAATTTTCGTAGCTTTACTTTTCAAACAGCAATCAACGCTATGCCTGGAGGGTCACCCAGTATTTATCCCTTTCTGTTATACTACGGGTATAATCGGAAATGTTCATTACATGCAAATATTTTAGCTGAATTGTACTCAATGCCATTCCTATACTATGAAATTTTCATAATTTTCGTAGCTTTACTTTTCACACAGCAATCAACGCTATGCCTGGAGGGTCACCCAGTATTTATCCCTTTCTGTTAAGTTGCAATCAGTAATGGAGGGCTATTTCAAGCAGATGAAATCTAGGATAGCTAGGTTGAATTTGTGAATTTGAAATATCGATTCAGTGCAGAGGAACACTTCAATTTTGATGTTCCATAGTTTTCGAAAGCATATAGTGTTGGTGTTATCAAATAAGAAACCCAAAATCAATCTTTCCAATACTCTCAACAAATTGGCATTACTTGTAGTACTATCACAATCGTAAATCATTAATCTTGAAATACTTATTCAATGATATTTATTATCATAATCCGCTATAAACATTACTGTCTGATCAACCGATATTTTTCTTTTTATGTATTATCAGTATCTGCCGAAAATATTTATTTAGGAATAAGGATTTTAGAGATTTTCATGCCTTTTGCATCATAAATACTGCTCTTCGAAAGTTTAGGTACCGTTTGTTGGTCCCAAAACTTTTTTATTGACAAAATTTTGGACGTTCATTAGGGCCCAACGAATATTGAACAATATATGTATAATATCTATGTTTGTATATGTATATGTTCGTTGATATTTCCATTGATTTGCTTATTTTATAGAACCTCGGTAGCAGTAGTCACAAAATGAAATGTTCAAAGAGCCTCCAACCGAAAAAAGACTAAAATCGCGAAAATCATTTTCCCCGTCTGAATAAATATCATGTCAATAAACTCATTGAGAAGATCATTAATTGCTTGATATGATTAGGCCAACGCCTAAAAGAAAAAAGTCACGAGTGAAGTCACAAGATTACCAATCGCATTCAACGAATAATCAAGTTCTAGCAACATGAATTTATCAAATTGCTAATTTGAGTAATACTAGTTATACTTCAATACAAATAACCAGGTTTTTAAATCTTAAATTTACATAGGACTTACCCTAAAATGAATTGTTCAACATACACCGTAGGTACCTTGTACGCCACCGACTGAACCAACTAGTTATGAATTAACTCTCATTATGAATTGTCACATGTTTTTATTATGAATTGTGTACTCAAGACGAGTTCGTATGCAATCGCTATTGTGATAAGCACTATAATCGGAATAATACCGTAACGTTACGGCTAGTTGGTGTCATACGAAATGTGTAATACGAAATATCGTACAAAATCACTTTAGATTACTGTCGCTTTCTGCCGGCATAACACCGTCCCGTCTTTAGTTCGGTGATTGCCAGGTATTTTTTGAAACAAAAGTTTATATCAGTCACAAAAGTGTATTGTCATTCAATCAGATAGGATTGATAATGAATGAAACTAAAGATTTTTTATAAATCTAGGTAGATAGACACAGAAAATGTATGTAGTATTCAAAATTCAATTTGAGAATGTATTAAAATCGTTTTCTTATTTTACCAAAATCCACCTTCTAGACTAGAGGATGAAAATAAAATTCAAGCATTCATGGATTGTGTTTCTCCCTTACTTCAAGAATTCATTATTGATGGACCCATTGTTTCACTTTCCCAATTTGCAATTCCTGACAAAAATTATATTTGACAAACTAGCATCGGATCGAAAGTATAATATAGGTACCTAATAAATATATCGAGATTCATCACTCACCCCCCTTCCATCGATTTTCAGTTGAATCAACCTTTTATGTGTAGTGAGTAAAATGCGACTAACCTATTATGTATACTAATTGGACTAATATCCATAAAAAAAGTCGCATTGTTACGTCGAAGGATCGTCACAAACAGAGATCGATTTTAGTTTTAGACAAGCAGCGTAGTTGTGAAGTTTTCCACAGGGTCTGGTAAGACATTGATTGACACCATTCCTTTTGATTCGTGATCAGAACCACCTTTTTCCCGGAAAAATTTCAGCTCTGAAAAATCCAAATTTGTCTCACTTTTCGATGAAGCACTCCCGTAACTTCCGTAATTATCAAGGTGAAATTATGAAACTTGCACGATTGATGAAAATGCTGAAGATACACTTACCGGCTAAATGATGTTGGCCTAAGTGATATACACTGCCCGCCATTCACGATGGAAGAAGCCATTTTTATAGTAAATCATACTAGGGGGCAAAACAGGCTGAAAATTCCTACAGAGTCGTGATCGCGACCCCCAAATTACTACAGGCACCCCTTTTTCCTGAGAAAATGTCAGTCTTGAAAAATCCAAATTTGTCTTTTCATAAAACCACACCCGTAACTTCCGTAATTGTCAATGAAGAATGATGAAACTCGCAGGCCTGCCCCCCAGTCGCGATGAAAGACCCCATTTTTACGGTAAATCATACTAGGGAGCAAAATAGGCTTAGCATTTTTTTCAGATTCGTGATCGAGACCCCCAGGTACACCTTTTCCCTAAAAAAATGTCAGCCCTGAAAAATCCAAATTTATCTCACTTTTCATGAAAGCATCCCCCTATCTTCGTAATCATCAGGGTAGAATGGTGAAACTCGCAGGATTGATGAAAAAGCTGAAATTACATTTTCCAGCTGAATTACGTTGACACCTAAGTGATATACACTGCCCGCCAGTCGCGATGGAAGAACCCAGTTTTACGATAAATCTTACTAGGGAGCAAAATAGGCTGAAAATTCGTTCAGATTCATCATTAGGACCCCCAAATTACTACAGGTACACCTTTTTGCTGAAAAAATATCATCCCTGAAAAACCCAAATTTGTCTCACTTCTCATGGAAGCAACCCTGTATCTTCCGTAATTGTTTACGTAGAATTGTGGAATTAGCGGAATTGTAGGATATACCAATAAGGCTTTTCACCTGAACCAATACTTCTCATGGAGAAACCCGAAAAATAAAATATGAGCATTAGCTTAGGGGGCTCTCAGTTTAGAAATAAATCAACCAACCTAAATATCCACTGAAAATGTTTTTTCGGGAAAAATCATTGTATTTTATCACCTCTCAACATTTATTCACTAATAAATCATTGCCATTCTTCTTGTATTCAATAAAAATCAAGGGATGTCCTGACGTTGCCGTGGAACAACAAATGAGGATTGATATTAACCAGCAATTTTGTTGATAGAGCCTATTAAATTCAGTCATACTTCCTCGTGTTAATTCTGTTATTGTTCCTGTTGCTTTCGTTGTCGCTGTTGTTTTTGTTGTGTGTGTTCCTGTTTCTTTTATGACAGATATTGATTTTCATATCGATTTAGTCTAAAACATATCCCGACAAACTCTACAAGAGAAAATTGAAATAATACTGATGATTGGAGAAGGTGCGAGGTATCACCCCTTGATACTCCTGTACGCTCTGGAACAGTTTCCAAAATTTACAACCTGTTCAACAGAACCGGCCAAGTAATGAAGGAGGCAGCATATCATGCTGATCCGCATACAAGTTTGAGAAATTTGTCACTCCAATTCAATAAAGGCCGAAGTAAAATTGGAGATTCTTGAAAAGGAATAAAATGCATGCCTTCAAGCTAAAATTTCTTAACCCTTTACACAGTGGAGACGAACAAAGAAGAATGTAATACTGTCAGGCAATTACCTGAATGACAATAATTTTTTGAAAAATATATTATTCAGTAATAAGGCAACTTTCACCACTAACGGTGTGGTATCTTCTCCGTTATTGGGCAGACCAAAATCCGCACTGGGTGGTGAATTGTCGAAATCAAATATCCTAAAAAATGAATGTGTGGTGTGGGATACTAAATGAAAGATTAATATGATGTTTTTTTATTGAACGAAATCTGATTGGAAAATTATTCGTTCATTTTCTGGAGAATGAGTTCTCCGACTTTCTGGAAGAATTGCCTCTGAATATAAGGAATAAATTAATGTTTCAGCTGGATTGGACCTAAGAGCCCTCTGGTAATCTGGCCCCCACATTTCCCTGATCTCACCCCCCTCTAAACTTTTTATGGGAAACGTTAAAAAATACAGTGTCTAGGAATAGGCACTACTCGTGAAGATCTCCGCGTGAGAATTATTTATTTATTTAGAAAATACACCCAACAGGTCATGAGACCCAATTACAGGAGTACATAATACAAAATGAAAAGCTTATATTAGTCCTGAAAAACAAAAATTAAACATAAAACGTAATCTATATTAGCATTACATACCATGTAACATATCAGTTCTATAGTGCATTATATATTGCTTTCCTAAACTGAGATAATGGTAAGAAGAATATATCTATGTTTTGTAGACTATTGTAGCTTCTACACATAGATGTCAAAGGACAGTGAAAGTGGTGTTGTGAGTTAGGTATGTCGATGTAAAAAGTTATATGTTACCTCGAAGTTATACAAGGAATGTTAAAATTCAATGATGAAAGTAAAGTAGACGAGTCGATTTGATTATGTATGATTTTGTATATAAAAAGCAAGTCGTTAATTTGGCGGCGTTTTTTAAGTGATGTATAGTTGAACTCTTCCAATAGTAAATCATAGCTATACTCTCTTCTGAGGTAAGAACCATGTTTTTTTAAATAAATCTGAATGCCTCATCTCTCTGAACTTTTCACGATAAAAAAGTAGTTGATGATGCCTATACATTTTCAGGTAGTGATTTTTTACTTTCAGCTTACGATTCAGATCTTTTGAATACCAGGTAGGGTACTTGCGGGAGCAGCATTTTTTCATGAGTACACACTTTTTTATTATATTTTGTATGACTTCGTTAAATCGTTCGCATGTTTGATCGACGTCATTCAGGTTGCTGAAGTGTTGATTCCAATCAACTATTCCCAGTAATCTGCAAAGTTTTTTAGTATTGGTATTTCTGAAGTTATACCGGTTAATGGAAGAAGAAAATACCACAGAAGCTCAGAAAGTTATTGAAACGTAATATCAAATTAGTTTGAACTTTTTTATCATAATGATCTTGAAGTTCTGGAATATTGAAGTCACCTAAAGTTATTGTATTGCTAAGGTCGTGAATGTTCTCTAAGCATTCGAAAAATTTATCATATTCATCAACAGATGTGTATGGAGGAATATATACAAGTATTATGATTTTTGAATCATGATTACTGCCCCATATCTTTACTGACAAAACATCAATTTTATTAACATGACAAATCAATTCAAGGCGTTCGGATTGGTATTTGTTGCTATCGACTGCCAATAAAACACCACCTCCACGAGCTCCTGTGTTTCTATCTTTACGATAAACTGTATAATTATGCGGGAATAGTTCGCTGTTGAAAAGATCTGCATGTAACCAACTCTCTGAAATAGCAACAACACTATGAATAATCGAAGCATGCCAGGAAGTTACACCTGGGAAACTAAGAAAAGTGATTGTAAATAATAGAAAACGAATAGTCATAGATTCATAGAAGGAACAATTATTTGAATTTTGTGAATCCGAATCAATATTGAATTTTCAGTTTTTTTCTATATCATTTTTTCCTCATTAATGAAATCAGTGGTACTTACTCGTATAATCGAGAACGGTCTTCAACTATTTACAGTTGGATATATTTTGTACTGAATTTTTCTCAACCCTGAAACTTCAATATGTTGAATTGACTTTGAATGGTGCAATTATATATTCTTAACTTTATGAGTTTGTATTATTTCTGCAGTTATTTTCTAATTTCATTGCGTGACTTCCAAGAAACAACGTTATCATCAATTATTTTTCTGGATAATCAAGTAGACAAATTTTCTATAGAAATCAGATATTTCCACTTAAAAAAATAGTGATTATAGAAAAAATATATCACAAGTGAAACACACAAATATGAGAAATAATTTTTTTTCTTGTTAAATGTTTCAAAATAATTTTGAAACATGAATGAACATTAGAAAATGTCGATTGTTAACCCAAATGACTTTTTATAATTGAAAGCATCTTACTATAATGAACGAATTCATGTTAATGTACGAAACGTTAAGTAATAATTGAATTTACTTTCAATTGAAAAATTGAGATTTCTGATCGGTGTAGAATTATATTTCAAAGTTTTTTGTCGGCAGTTCCATTGCGACTGGCGGACGGTGTATTGAGCCGGTAACTAAATTTTCAATATTCCCATCA